TTCTCTTCCAGAGGACCTGGGTTCAATATCCAGCACCCACATGGTAGCCCACAACCATCCAACTCTAGTTCCAGGGATTCTGATGCCTCCCCCTCCAGCAAGATACATAAAATAATACACAGACTTGCATGCAGGCAAAACATTCTCGCTTTAAAAAAGGTTTCTGGGCTCCTTGGTTTTATTGGCAGTGATAGTTAAGAAATGTTTGAGAAATAAAACTAGCCATCATAGCAATTTCCTTTCCAAGAACACTGCTTGGTGCTGCCTTGCTCTGTATCACTCTTGTTGAGAATGGGGACAGCAAGCATCCCTGGTCTAATTCTGATGGTGCCACACCTGTGACCCCTTCCATTACTGAACCACCTTTTGAGCCACCTGTAATCCCAGGACCAGGGAAGCTGAGAGGAATTGCAGGCTTATGGCTAGCCTGAGCCACAATAGAAACTGCCTCAAAAATTAAATAAATAGAACTGAGGAGATTCAGTGGGCAAAAGTATGGACCTAGCCAGATACGTTAGTATACATTGATGGGACACAGGGCTCCCTGCAATCTTAAGAGCCCAGGAGGTCTGGCATATGCCATAGAGAACAGAAAAAGACCACACAAAGATAGAAAATATCTTTTCTAGGGGCTGGAGAGCAGGCTTAGTGGTGAACAGGACCCAAATTTGGTTCCCAGCACCCATGTCAGAAAGCTTACAACCATCTGTAACTCCAGCTTGAGGGATCCGACACCCTCAACTGGCCTCTGAGGGCACCAGCACACATGCACCACATCCAAACATACAGGAGTAAACAAAAAATACAGGCAATGCTGGGGTGAAACTACCCACAGCTTTCTTAGCCTGTTTCCCAGCATATACTTTCAAGTTAATTGTGGGTTTGGATCCCCGCCCCAGTTTTTTTTTTTTTTTTTTTTTTTTTGAGAATGTCTCTCTATACTCTCTGGCTCTCCTAGTACTCATTCTTTAGACCAGGCTGGCCTCAAACTCAGATCTTTCTGCCTCTGCCTCTGCCTCCTGAGTGCTGGGCTTAAAAGTATTTGCTGTAACCAATTCCAGGGGATCTGACTTCTCACACAGACATACATGCAGGCAGAGCATCAGTGCACAAAAAATAAAAATAAATTCTTAGAAAGGAATGCAACACATCTTTGCATCATTAAATATTCCATAGCATAAATAGATATAACACATCTTAAAATAGTATTCCACAATATTTTTGTTTTGTTTGTTTTTGAGACATCTATGTAAACCCAACTGGCCCAGAATTTAGGTATACAGTGTTCTATTTGCATGTGTCCCTGCAGACCATAAGAGCACCAGATCACATTATAGATGGTGTGAGCCATCTTTGTGGTTTCTGGGAATTGAACTCAGGACCTTTGGAAGACTAGTTAATATTCTTAATCACTGAGCCATCTCTCCAGCAAGGGTTTTCCTTGTTTGTTTGTTTGTTTGTTTGAGACAGGGTTTCTCTGTAGCTTTGGGACCTGTCCTGGTACTCACTCTGTAGACCAGGCTGGCTTCAAACTCACAGATCCTCCTGCCTCTGCCTCCAATTGCTGGGATTAAAGGAGTGTACCATCACTGCCCAGCTCACTAGAGAGACTCTTTACTTCTACTGAGTCCTCAGACCAAAGGGGCAGTCTTGTCCCTAGGAATCTTCAGACTGAATGCCATGAGCTTCTGTTCCTGCCTCATATTCCTCTCTGCCCACCCATATCACTCCTGTCTCCACCTCCCTAGTACTGGTATTAAAGGTGTGAGCTACCCCTGCCTGGCTGTTTCTTTTTTTTTAGATTGGATCAATCTCATGTAGCCCAGGGTGGCCTTGACACAGAGATCCACTTGCCTCTGCCTCCTGTGTGCTGGGATTAAAGGTGTGTGCCACCACTGCCTGGCATCTATGGCTAACTAGTGTGGCTAGTTCTGCACTCTGATCTTCAGGCAAGCTTTATTTGTTAGATCACAAACAAAATATTAATTACCACAAGCCCGTGTTTTGGTTTTTTGAATCAGGACTGGCTATTTTGCCCACTAGCCTAGAACTGTCATCTTCCTGCCTCTAAGGCTAGAGTCACAGACCTGCTCCGCCAAGCCTGGTTTAACACCTTCAGAGGACAATTGGTCCAGGCGCTGACATCAGTGGCACTAGACTAAAGGCCAGGTATCTTCAGTGCTGACTCCTTCAGAGGCTCAGAAACTTCTGTGCACTGCCTTTCCTTGTTCTCCTGCATTCCAGAACTCCTGATTCCTTCCTGGAATCTGGTTTCGCTGGGGCTGTGCCCCAAAGGCAGACAGATGCAGACCTGCAAATCTGCATTGCTTCCACTTCTCCTTTGAAAAGTTGAAATTCTTACTATTCATTATTGAGTCAAGTAAGGTCAATGTGGCTGGGAGATCCTCTGCCAGTGGTGATTACAGGGCATGCTGGAAGGCTGGAGTTCAATCCCCAGCACTCACACAAGCTGAATGGTGGTGCATACTGGGAATCCCAACACCGGAGAGGTAAAGAGATGAACTGTTGGCCGCATAGGTGGATGCATGGCTGGTTGGGTGGACTGATGGGTGTGGTCTTCTTTGACCTACCAGGTACCACACTGACAAAGAAAAGTCTCCTGCCTCTAGCAGCCATGGACTGCTGATAGCTCCTTATTTGATGATGGGAGCCTGTCCCTACTCCATTCTGGAATGCTGACTGGCTTAACTTGTTCAGGCAACCACAGCTGTTGTGACCTTGTAAGTACAGCAATTCTGTCAAGTCCAGAAGACACTTCACTAGTTCTTTTGACCTCAGGCTTTTAGGAATTATAAAAAGGGGCAATTTAAGAACTAGCTGACAAATCTTAATTGGCTTTGTTTTGTGAGTCTAGAACACAGGGACACTTCACTCTGTCACGAGGAAAGTTCTTTGGGGCAGAGTAGGAAAAGGCTGTTGTTTGCCTGTTTGGTGGTAGTTTTGAGGTGCTGCACCCCAGTCAGAGAAGAAACCAGGACACACTTCAAACCACTTATTTTACTAGCATGTGAGTCCTCCTGGGCATTTTCAGGCACCTTTGCTCACTGAACCATCTAACTGAGCTGCACACCTGAGTCTGAGCTGCTCCTTTGTGACGATGAAAGCAAGAGGGGTTCTTTACAGGACTTGGAAGTGACCTATATTTGGCTGTTACTTTTATATTTATTTCTTTTTAGAAAAGAGAATAAGTATCTGGTTTTGAAGTGGGTTCTCATCATGGTGCCCAAGCTCAAGCCATCTTCCTGTCTCAGCTACCCCAACACAGGCATTCGGGCACCCACCACAAAGCTTGGTTTTTCAGCTTGGGAACATGAAACTTAGCTTGAGAGAGTCTAGTTTAAGTTTTAGCCCCACCTGTTGGGCACAGTTCAGGTATTTAGTATAAATGCTGCCCTGTAGTTTTTATTTAACAAAATGTATGAGATCATGCTTTTATTTTAAAACCAAATACCAGATGCTGGGGAGTTGTTTTGGTCAGTGTTTGCTATGCAGGCATAAGAACCTGAGTGTGATCCTCAGGACCAAGGTGAAAATTGTGGGTGTAGTGGTGTACACCTATAATTCCAGCACCAGACAGAGGCAGAAGGATTCCTGGGGCTTGCTGGCCAGCTCACTTAGCTTAATGGGCAATCTGAAGGCCAGGGAGAGACCCTGTCTCAAAAACAGTGGGTGACTATCCTGAGGAAAATGCCAGAAGTTGTCCTTTGACCTCTGTATGCACACCTATGCAAATGGATTCTCTGACACCTGACATCTCTTTTTCCTCCCTGGTGTACCCTCAAATTTGACGGATTAGCTTTTTTTTTCTCCCTTGTAGTGCCAGTGTTGGTACCAGGTCTTTGTATATACACTCTACCACTGAATTACATCCCTAACCTCCTCACTCCTCTTCCTTCTGAAGGAGAGAGGATGGGAGAGGGAGAGAGAGGATGGGGGGGAATCAGTTCCTGTATCACACTAGCCTCTAAATGATAGAGATCCAGCAGCCCAGCCTTATTAGCTAGTTTTGTTATACAGCCCAGGAGCACCTGCCTAGGGACAGAGCCAGCCACAGTGGGCTAGCCCTCCTGTGTCAATTAAGGCAATCATGTCAACAGAAGAACATGAGTAAGACAAGTACTCATTTGAGACTTTTTAAAAAGGTGATTCTATGATATGTCAAGTTGACAGTTAATGCCAATTAGGACAGATGGATGAGTGGATGGACAGGCAGGTAGATGGATGGTTGACAGGTGGGTGTATAGGTGGCATGCTGGTTGTTTTTGTCCACTTGACACAAACTAAAGTCACCTGGGAAGAGGGAACCTCGGTTGATGAATCACTTCTATCAGATTGACTGTCGGCAAGTCTGTGGGGGCATGTTGGTTAGTGATTGATGTGGAAGCACCCAGCCCACTGTATGGGGGTGCCACTCCTGAGCAGGTGGTCCTGGGATGCATATGAAAGCAGACTAAGCAGGCCAGTAAGAAGCCTGCTTTAGTTCCTGCCCTGCCTGAGTTCCTGCCCTGACTTCCCTCAGTGAAGGACTATAGTTTGAGTTAAATAAGCCTTCTTCCTCTCCAAGTTTCTCTTGTATTTTATTTGTTTATTTTTGCTTTTCTAAGTCACATCAATAGGAACCCTAACTAAGGTGTGAATAGATGGAAGGATGGATTAACAGATGGATGGTAGATGAGTGGAGTGGTTAGATGGGTAGATGGGCAGAAGGACAGATTGGTGGATGGTAGGTGTTTGACAGGTGAGTGGATGATGCTGTGCAGATGCGTGCATGGTTGGAGAACTGCACGGTGGTGGATGGATGGATGCATGGCTGAGAGGTGGATGGAGGATGAATGTGTTGGACAGGGGATGGCAGGTGTTTCTAAGTCAGCTCCCAGCAGCTGACTGGAGCCCCATGCGCCTCTCTGAGGCCTGCCTGCAGGATCTGGGAACAAGGATAGCAACATGGGGCGGGGCCTGCCTGGGACGGGGCGGGGTCTCTCGTGGCCCCGGATGCAGCCCCGCCCCCGCGGAACCGGAAGTGAGCGGGCGCTGGGAGCGGTGGGGCGCGGCGGGATCCTGGCGGACCTGGCTGGCGCGGTGAGCGGGGGATGGGCGTCCTAGAGAGAGCAGCTGAAGGGGCGAAAGGGGGTTGGGATGGGTTGTCAGGGTGCAGGGTCTGGACAGGTTGTCGGGGTGTGGGGCCAGGACTGGGGTCGGGGCCGGGAACCCGGGGTAATCGGGGTGTGGGGCAGGGACTGGGGCCCAGGGCTGCAGGGCCAGGATCCAGTGATCGGGGCCTCAAGGTGTAGGGCTGGGATCTGGAAGCCAGGTTTCAGGGCCAGGACGAGGGGTTCGCGCTGTGGCTTTGGTTTCGGGGATGGGATTGGGGTTCGGGGCTCCGGGGTGCAGAGCTAGGATCGAGGATTGGGGTTCAAAACCAAGATCAGGGTGTCCCGGCGTGGAGCCAGAATCGGGGGCTGGGGTGCGGTGCTGGCATCTGGGGGTCGGGGTGCAGGGCCAGGATTGGAAGCTAGAAGTCCCGGGTTGTAGGGTCTGGATGGGGGGCATCGGGGCCCCAGGTATGGGGTGGGGATCGCGGGTTTCGGACTCCGGTGCTGGGCTGTCCGGCCGTCCATGGAGTAGCCAGGGTGCTGATCGGTCTGGGCTCTGAGGGGGCGGGGCCAGGACGCTGGCTCTAGGATTCCTGGGCATAAAGGAAGGGGTGGGTTTCCAGGGCAAGGGGTCTGAGGTAGTCAGAGTACCAACCAGGACCTAAGGAAGGAATGGACCTGAGGGCAAGAAGCTGGTGGGGGTGGGGAGATTTTGGTTCTAGAATCTAGTGGAATGGTGAGGGCCTGGGGGAAGTTGTTGGGCCCAAGGATCCTGGAATACCAGAACCCAGTGAAATTATGAGTACTTATAGGAAGTTGGCAGGCTGGGCAGCTAGTGTTTCAGAACCTAGGAGGATTGGGGTCCAGCCCTCTGGACTGGGCTGTGAGGCCAGTTTCAGGGAACTGGCCTGGACACTTGAGAGAAGTTTGCAATGGGATCAGTGGAAATCCAAGCTTCTAGCTTGCATCCTGGAGTTAGGGAGCCTGGAATCCAGCTGCCCCTCCTCCTTGGTGTGTGCCCAGTTACTGCAGAGGTGCTTGGGCCTGGTCTGTTCTGGTTTCTCTTGGTCTGTGTGAGGGGTGGGGTCCTCCAGCCAGAGAGAAGGAATTCCATTTTGTACCCAGTGAAGTGAGGCTTCAGCCCTTCCTAGTTGTTTGACCTGGCTGCCCTAGGCCTTGTTAGTAGCTGGGTCCAGCAGGTCCTCACCATCCAGTAGGCCCCACCGTCAGTGCAAACAGCCTTCCTGTCCACCGGGGGCCTGGCCACTGTGGATCTGAGCACCCGCCTTAGGACCCGTGGCTTGCCTAGAGTGAGTCACCAGTTCAGGCCCTGAGTCAACACTGCTCCTTTATTTGGCTGAGAAGGTTTTCAGCAGAAATTTGAAGGAGGGGGAAGCAGCTTCAGACATAGGAGAATACAGAGCTGGGGTTGAAGAACTGATTCTAGTGTTAGCTCCCCAGGGACTAGAAATGGACCCTCCACTAGAGCACCTTCCCCCATAGAGCCTTTTCCCTGACGCTTCCGCTCTGTTGGCATTGAACCCTGGCCTTGGGAGACAACTTCTCTACCCAGCTCCAGCCCCAGCCCTAGAGCTGACCTTTAATTGAGGCATTGTGAAGTGGTACCTCTAACACCTTGTAAATTCCAGGGACTGTTAATGGCCCTTCAGATCTTTGGCCTGTTAGTTGGGAAAGCACTTGGTGTAACTCAGCATCATCAGGCCCTTACCTCCTTGTGTCCCCTTTCTTTGTCCTGGGTGTGGCAGTGCACTCTCTCTGTGTGCACTGCCTTTGCAGGCCTTGGTAGGCATTGGTGATGGGTGGTCACTTCTCCACAACTACTCCTGGCCCTGGCTACCTTCCTGTTACCTTTGCTTTGCCGTGCTGTAGGTATCATGAGGTTCAGGGGCTCAGGATGGTGGATCCCTTCATCCTGTGACTGGGTCCTCTCTGGTCGAGCTGTGCTTGGCGTTTGCAGTGAGTTTGTCTTTTGTTTGAGCTTTTGTGTGTGTGTGTGTGTGTGTGTGTGTGTGTGTGTGTGTGTGTGCGTGTGTGTGTCTGCTTTTTTGAACTGTAGTTTACCCCACATGTGGTCACCCATTTAAAGGGTTCAGTGGTTATTGGTATATTCAGAGTTGTGCATCCATCACCACAAACAATTCTGGTCTTCTCAGAGAGATACAGAGAATGGGCATGCCTGTGGTTCCAGTGGCTGGGGATGCTGGGACAGAAGGGCCTTGAGCCCAAGGAGTTCTGGCCAGCCTGGGCAACAAACAGAAAAAGCTAGAGTCTGTCTGTCTGTCCATACCTGCCTCCATCTGCCCCTCCCTCCCACTCTCTTTTTGGTGGTAGTTTGGATATTTTTGAGACAGATCTTTATAACTTTGACTAGCCTGGAACTCACTATATAGATCATCCTGGCCTTAGACTTGCAGCCATCCTCCTGCCTCTGCCTCTTGAGTGTTGGGATTATGGGCCGTGGGACACACTACCATGCTGGGCTGCTCCAGTCTGTCTTTTAGAAAAGAAAGAAACTGGATACCTTAGCCGTACTTCCTACCCCTAGCCCTCCTCCCAGCCCCCGCTTTACTCTCTTCCAGCCCTTCTCCCCTCACCCCATTTCTGGGATCAAGTACAGGGCCTTGAACACACAAAGCTCGTATTCCATCCCTGCCTTTCTCTTCCTTGGTTCATTGTTTTGAAATGAGGTCTTTCTGTTGAACTTCTGGGTTTAAGTGTCATCTCCACCCCCGCAACCAAGCCTTGTGTCTTTGTTGTTAAACAGGTCAGCTGCTTTTTTTCCCCTATTGATTAGTAAAGGATATATACACCCTTTACTAATATATATATGTTATATGTGTGTGTGTGTGTGTGTATACATATATATATATATATATATATATATATATATATATATATATACCATTGTTTGAAAATCACTTTCTTCTTCCATGGGTCATCTTGTCTCTTGTTTGTTTCTTGGCCGGTCTCATTCTGTAGCCTGGTTAACCTCAAACTCTCCATTTTTCTGCCTCAGCTCCCTGAGTGCTGGGTCCAAGTTGTATGCTTCCATATAAACTCTTGTGTTTGTTTTTTTTTTTTTTTTTTTAAAGAAGGCTCAGTGGGTAAACAGCGCTTGCCACTGAGCCTGACAATCTGAGTTCAATCCCTGGGATCCAGGAGAGATTCAGGTTATCTTCCTTTCATAAGCATGCCATGGCACGTCTTTCTCCACACACATACAGACGCACAGGGTTCTACCCAGTGTATGTGTTTTATTGTTATGTCTTCCTTGTGTTCTTGTTGGAACACCTGAGAAGTTGTCAGCAAGTCCCCGTCAGAATGGTCACCTTCATTTCAGTGGTTTCATGTGTTTGAGGTGGGGCACAGAGGCCTTACTTAGATCCAAAAATCGTACAAGTTTATTTTTCAATCAGTTGTTTTTAATGGCAATGAAATTGAGAACACTGACTGTGTGGCTGGGGACATAGCTTGGTGGCAGACTGTTGAGTGTGAGTGAGTGAGTGAGTGAGTGAGTGAGTGAGTGAGTGGGCTCTACCTCGGTATTGCCTCTCACTGACTGCGTACCTGGCTTTGCACATTGGTTCTGGGCTCAAACTCAAGTCATCAGGCCTGTGCAGCAAGCAGTTTTATCTGCTGAGCCATGACTGTGTGTGTGTGTGTGTGTGTGTGTGTGTGTGTGTGTGTGTGTGTGTGTTAGGGTCTCATGTAGCCCAGGGATCACATCTGTGCTCCTTTGTTTTGGCTTTTTGAAACAAGCTCTCCTGTGGTTTAGACTGGCTTTCTGCCATAGGTGGGGGTCACAGGCATGTGCTGCCATGCCGGGCATCTGTTACTGTTTGTAAACAGTGACAGAGTTTCATTGCCTTCTACCTTCATAAGTTAGAGTGGACAAGAAATGAAACATCTCAGCTTTACATGGAGCAGGGCTCATGCTGGCCACAGAGGCTGCAGTCTCCGGTTGGATGCGGGGACATTAAGTCTTTAAATCTGCTGTGTCCTCTGGTTCCTGTGGCCTGAGACCTCTGATTACTGAGAGGCCAGTCTTCCTGTCTGCTGATGCCATGTGCACCCTGTGCTGGGGACTCCAAGGTTCTCTAAAAGTGTCTCGCAGGAGGGTATTGCCTGAAGAGTCTGGCACAGACAGACATTCTGAACCGCAGTCTTCTCTTCACAGGTGTTCACTGATCATCGCAGATGCCCACACATTTCTCCTTGGATTCAGATAGACTGTGAGCTGCCTCTCCCAGCAAAAAGGTTTGTGTCTTGTGAAGGCTCCAGTGTGCTTTCTCTTGGGTCAGGTGTGGATAGGGCTTTCTTCCTGGCCATGCAGAAAGAGACTTGGGATGGGAGTTCCTGGGGAGACAAAACCTTTTCAAAGAAATCTCATGCCAGGGACTGGAAAGGTGGCTCAGTGGGTAACATGCTTGCCATGCAAGCGTAAGGATGTGAGCTTGAATCCCCAGCACCCAAGTAAAAGCCGGGCACAGGGCACACATCTGCAAAGGGCTGGGGGAAACAACAGGCAGATCCCTGGAGTTTGCTGGCCAGTTAGCCTAGCTAGTTGGCTAGCTCTGGGTTCACTGAAGAGACACTGTCCCAAAAATGAGGGGGAGGGCCTGCGAATTGGCTCAGTGGGTAAGCACTTGCTGCCAAGCCTGATAGCTTAAATACAACCCTTGGGACCTATAGGGAGAGGGAGAGAACCACATGTGCTGTATCATGGCTCTTGATGTTCTTTAAGATCCTATCAAGGCCAGGAAGGTGGCTCAGTGGTTAAAGCATTCACCACACAAATGCGAGGCTCCCTAGAACCCTGTGTAAGTACAGGAAGGCAGAGGTAGGAGATCCCCAGAGCAAACCGGCTGCTGAGATGAGCCTTATTGGTGAGAGCCCCTGACTCAGTGAATAAGGTGACAGAGTGATGAAGGACACACATGGGTAAACATGTGTGTGACTGCACACATGCAGATATATGTACTCACAAAAAAAAGATGGAAAATGAAAAAAAATTGTCAAAAGTAGGTCATGTTTGGAACATTCTTGCCCACAGGGTTTGATGTTCTACTAACAACCTCTGCTGTGAGGAAGATGTGCTTCCCAGTAGATGGCAAATCTGCCCTCTGCTAAGCTGCTGGAGGCAGTTATTGGATTGTCTGTCTAGATTAAGACAGCCATCATAGTTCCAGGAATTGCTTGAAGTTTAAATTGTGATAAAATAAATACTGCATGACATTTGCCACAAGTGACACTTAGGGCCTACCAGAGTTGCGTGGTCTCTGGTGATGCTGCCTCTGAATTGTAGCCACCCTGAAGGCTGATCATGGTGAGGTCCTCATTGATGGAGAATGTGTACACTCCACTTTGTTGATTTGAAATAGGGCCTCACTCAGTGGCCCATCCTGGTCTGGCTTTAAATTTATAGCAACCCTTCTGCCCCAGCCTATCTAGTGCTCAGATTATAGGTGTGAGCCATCATACTCCTCTTTCATCTGTTTATTTTAGGTATTTTGCCTGTGTGTGTGTGTGTTGTGTGTGTACGCAATGCCACATGTGTGCATTGCCTGTAAGGACAGATAAAAGGAGTCAGATCCCCTGGGGCTGGAAGTACAGACAGTTGGGAGCTGCCATGTGGGTGCTGGGACTGAACCTTGATTTCAGGAAGAACAAGTGCTCTCCATTCCCAAACTTGTTCTTTTTTTTGAGTCAGGGTTCTTATTGGTCTGGAACTCAGTAAGTAGACTAGCCTACTCAGTAAGTAGTGAGCCCCATGGGCCCTCCTGTTTCCATCTCCCCAGCACGGGGTTACCCCATCACAGCCAGATTTTTTTTTTTAATATGGATGCCAATGGAAGCATTGGATGGAACTGTCTACCCAGCCCCCCACCCTGAGGGCTCTTAATACAACGCTTTGATTCCTTCAGGTGTCCTTGAGTTCAGTGACTGCCCTCTGGGGGAGGTGACCTGAAGGTCAAGGCTTCTCTGGGGTCCTGGGTCACCCTCTCAGGTGACTATTTGCTGCTCTTTCAGATGTGGAAAGCTTCCGCAGGCCATGCTGTGTCTATCACCCAGGATGATGGGGGTGCCGACGACTGGGAGACTGACCCCGATTTTGTGGTAGGAGTCGCCAGCTCTGCCTTCCTGGGTATTTGCCTCTGAGGTTCCCAGCCTGGCCCCACACTAAGCTGGTTAATTTCCTCCAGGGTGAGGGTTTACAAGTTAGGCCTTGGTGTACTGGTTAGGGTATGGGACATGCTAATTAGGGCACAGGATAAATGAACTAGGGTGCTGGGTGTATTAGGTCTCAAGGCATACTAGTTAGGGCATGGGATGTGCTACTTCTCCAGGGTGGGGATATACTCGTTAGAATATGGGATATGCTAAAGTTAGGGCATGGGGTGTACTTCTTCCCAGGGTGGGGTTATACTAGTTAGGATACAGGGTGTGTTAGTTAGGGCATGGGATGTGCTAGTTACTTCTCTTTGCAGAATGATGTGAGTGAAAAGGAGCAAAGATGGGGTGCCAAAACCGTGCAGGGATCGGGGCACCAGGAACACATCAAGTAAGTACCTGGGGCACCCCCACTCTTCCACATGCCCGCTCTGTAGGGTGAGGAGATGAGAGTGGCCTTGACCTGCTGCTCCAAGTGATGATCGCTACAGGGGCTTGTGTGTCTGTGGGCCTCAGCTCTCAGGTGTGCACAGATGACGGACGTGAGGCCTAGTTTGTATAAACCATGTTTTCCAGCACAGAACACAGAGGGAGCTGTTTGGTGTAAATGGCAGCCTTGGAGGGCGGGAGATGGCTTTGAGTAACTTGGGCCCCAACCATCTCCTTCTTTTGGATCATTGTCTACAAGTTGTCATGTATTATGAAATTTGCCTAGCTCCACGTGTTGAAGAGGCTGAGATAAGAGTGTGGAATGTCCATTGCCATGGAGCCTGATCCCAAACCTACAGCAACTTGCATCCTTGCCAGGAAGGGTGGACAGGCCCTCTGCAGACACCAAATGCTGTTTTAGGCCCCACAGGGTTCAGAATACATTCTCTTTGGTATTTTGGCTACTGCAATTTTGACTCAGAGCATTGGGTCAGGTGCTCAGCAGAGGACTGTCTGTGCAGTGGTTTGTAGGAGGATTTTTGTTCATTTTAATCTATCTCCTTGAGATAGAATGCTGCCGAGTTTCCCTGTCTTGGTCTCACCCCCGAGGCTCATAGTGGCTTTCTGGATCTGAGTGTAGGGAAGCCCACATCCAAAGATTTTCCATAGTGTAGTAGTTGTCACGGGTGGTAGGTACAAAGGGCCTGTGGTCCATTAGGAGAGGGGATGGATATGAGAGGTGAGCAGGGATCTGGACCACCATACCTGTGAGAGTCTATCCCCATGGTTCTAGAACATGGGGAGGGTGGATGGGAAGACCCGTGAGGCTCTCTGGATGGATTAAGAGTGGCTGTGTGGGCATCCCATGGTCCTTCTCAGGTTGTTGGTGGTATTTCTCTCTTGCTGCTCATTGGGGGTTGGCAGGTAGGTCCAGGCCTGGTGTGTATTCTGTCCATACTCTTGGGCTTGTTCACGTGCAGAGCTTGGCTTCGTGTCTGCTGGTTAGCAAGGCCTCTGCTGCTTTCGGGCAGCCAGGTCCTGACTGCCTTCTGATCTGCTCTACCATTGTTGCTTGTCTTAGTTTGTTATACACTGCTGTGATAACACCATGATCAAATGTAACCTGGGGAGGAAAGGGTTTACTTCACCTTACAGCTCCTGAGTTTGTCACTGTGAGAACTCAGGTCAGGGACTGAAGCAGAGGCCATGGAGAAAGGCTCCTTATTGACTTGCTCCTCGTGGCTTGCTTAGCTGCTTTCCTATAGCACCCAGGACCACTGACTGGTTCAGGGGTAGCACTACACTCAGTGGGCTGGGCCCTGCCACCTCAGTCCTCAATCAAGGAAATGCCACACAGGTCAGTCCGATGGGGGCATTTTCTCAGTTGAGGTTCCCTCTGCTGAGATGATTCAAGCACTTGTGTCAAGTTGCCAAAATGCTAGCCAGCATAGCCAGCTTCTTCTGATGACCTTGGGGTTTGGAGAAGGGACTCTGTGGGTGGCAGTTTTAGAGCTCAAAGCTCAGATTCAGCATCCCTGTCTCTAGGGCCAGCTGCATGGTCCTGTGTGGATTTAGATCTGCATTCCTCTGCCATGCAAGCTGTGACAGAGCCATGGAGGTAGGCATGTTGAACAGAGGATAGCAGCCCAATGAGAAAACCCTGCAGACTCAAAAGGATATCACTACCTTTTGCTTGTCCTGCTGGCGGGGAAGGTGCAAGCCTGTGCCCTGACAGCAGTCCTGCTTCCGCCCCTTCCAGTATTCACAAGCTGCGAGAGAACGTCTTTCAAGAGCACCAGACACTTAAGGAGAAGGAGCTGGAAACAGGACCCAAGGCTTCCCATGGCTATGGCGGGAAGTTTGGTGTGGAGCAGGATAGGATGGACAAAGTAAGTGGTTGCCCAGGCAGGGCTGATGGCCTGCATGGGTATGTGACGTGGGTAGCAGTCACACTTTTCTGAGTCGCAGTGCGGAGTGGGGTTGCTGAGTGTGAGAGCTGCTCTGAGGCCATGAAGCTCTTCTGTGTTTCTAGAAGCCCCTTTTCAATTTGTCAGAGCCCCTTACCAGTGGCTATGTGTAGAGGGCTCTCTGGGGTAGATCAGCGCCATGACCAGCTTTGTGAGCAGGAAAGACCCCAGAAACATCCAGCCCACCCATGTCATGGTCACCACTGCTAGTGGTTGAGATGAGCCAGTCCACAGGGTGGGGTCAGCTCTGAAGGCCCTTTGCTCACGTCACATCCGTGGAGTTCACTGACGCCTAGCTTTTGTCTATCTGCATTTGTGGACCACTCCACAGCCAGGCTGGGGAGGATGTACACACTGTCTCTAAGCTCTGGCTGAGCCCCTGGCAATGGCATTGATGGGTTCTGACTGATGAGCAGATACCATGGGCAGCTGCTGTCTAAGCCATCAGTTTGGGGTGGTAGCTGGGTTCTTGCCCCAAGAGGAGGGAGTGGGGCCTGCTCTAGGGCTTACTCTAGGCTGGCTGGTTTTCCCAGAGAGAAGGCTGCATCATGTGGGCATGTCTCCAAGAATGCAGACCTTTACACTCTTGAGTGAGCAGTGTGGGGTGGTTCTGATGGGCAGATAGTGCTGCCATTGGATAGATGTGGAAGAGAGGCTGCCGGTCCTGATGGGTGACTCCCTCACGTGAGGATTATATTCCACTATTCTAGGCATATAAGGCCATGGCCACATCTCAGTGAGACATCACTGTCCACTAGAGGAGTGGACGGGTCAGCCTGAGGGCACCCCAACCATGGCCAGTGGCTTAGGGTTTTATTGTTGTGAAGAGGCATCATGGCGACTCTTATAAAGGAAAACATTAATTGGGGCTGACTGACAGTTGGGAGGTTTAGTCTATTATCGTGAGGGTGGGGAACCTGATGACACTCAGGCAGATATGGTGCTGGAGAGTAGCTGAGACTTCTAGGTCCCAATTCATAGGCAGTAGGCAGAGAGAGTGACACTGGGCCTGGCAGGATCATTTGAGACCTCAAGACCCACACCCAGTGACACACTTCCTCTCTAACAAGGCCACACCTCCCAGTGCCACTCCCTAAGCATTCAAATATAAGGATGGGGGCCATTCTTATCAAACCTCCACAGCCAGGAATATTCTGGAGCAACATTCTGACAAGATGCCTTCTGTGGGAAGGAGATGTGGTTGTTTGGCTGTGTTGTTGCATTGCTGGCACAGAGATGGATGTGCTGGTCCTGGCATGGGCAGCGTGGAGATCCTGCTGTTCAGGCTCAGTCAGATGCAGAGAACCACAGCGAAGAGACCTAGAGTGATAGTTTGGGGGAGAATCTTAGTTTATCAAGGGTGAGCTTAATGCCAGGAATGTTGCTCTCTGGCTTCTCTGCGTGAGTTCTGGGCCTCCTTTGCCTCAAATCTCATCATCAAGCCTGTGGCTTATGCTTCATCAAGCCTAGTCCTTCCTTCATCCTTTGTTCCTACCCATCCTGTCTTCTGTTTCCCTCGATGGCTTCTCGTTGCTCTTCTGTGCTGTCATTGTAGGGATATACACCCTTCTGGGCTTCCCCTAGAACTCACTGCCCTCATCTTGTGTCTGAACTGGTCTTCTATGCTGAGTATGCTATGTTGTAAGTGTGCACTGCCACACTTCTGTGGCTGACTGTTGTCAGTACCCAGGTGACCCCAGACTGCTAGAATCTTCAGTTCACTTTCTTGGCTGCATGCTGACCAGTAGCTCTCAAGCATTGGTGACATTAGCACTGGGTGCTGGTGTTCCCTCTTATTAGGGCCCCTAGGCTCTGTGCATTGAGGAGAGGTTAGCCCTTGGCTCATGTGAACCCTTGAGAGTAACTTATTGTTAAGAACCTGAAGAAGAATGGCTGAGCTTTCATAGCCTGTCCTTTCCAGAAATGGAAGGAGAGATGAGGCCCACAGACTTCCTCAGCCAGGTTCATCCAGGGCAGCACGCACCTGTGAGGAGCCAGGCCTGGAGCCATTAGGTTCCTTTAGGGATCAGGTGACTGTGGCCAGCTAAGGGGGCTTCCTGCCTTCCCTGCATACTGCATGTCAAGGTTAATAACAGATGTGCTTCTGCCAGTACGAGACCAAAAGCCACTGAGCACGCATTCAGTCAGCAGGCTGGAACCAGGGCCAGCTGTCACTTCAGCCCCTTTTTCTCTTTAACTTCTTTCTGCGGGGAAATCTCTTTGGCATGGCTGCCTCTTTTTGATCTTTTAAAGACGGTTTCTGTGTGTGAGCCTGGAGGCTGCAGGCGGCCGTCGTACCGCACGGGGTTTCACAGACTGGCTTGTGGTCTGCCATCGGCTGCTGACCACAGCTAAGCCTGGGAAAGAGAGAGTCATTCATCCAAGGCTTTCTTTGTAGACTATGTTCTGTGTATCACCAACCTCAGTGACCTTTGTAAAGAGGGGCATTGAAGTCAGTGATATGCAGGACATATCTCAAGTGCAAGGCCAAGCTGAGCAGTTAGCCAACCAAGTTAGGACTGTGGTACACAGGGCTGACTCTCCCTGTAGGGTGGTCAGAGTCGGGGTTCTGTATTGCTAGGAGGGCCAAGAAGACAGGCTCAGAGGCACAGAGGCACTGTCTACCATGAGGAAAGACCACAGGATGCTGCGCTGGATGGTGGCATCCCCGGCAGCTGGTGACAGCGCAGATATTAGAGCACTGTATTTGGAAGGGGCTGGGGTGAGGGTCTGCTAGCAGGCTTCGGGTTGATGCCCCCTTCATTACCTGTTGTGGGGTCCTGTATCCTTTGGTGGGGGATGGCGTGAGATGACAGCACTTGTCTCCTGCTGTGTGTCCTGCATGTCTGGGAGGTATGGAGTGTACATCTGCATCGTCACTGAAGAACGCGTGTCTGCCTCAAAACAGTCACAAAGTGAAAACATCACACTCAGAGAGTGACTGATGTAAATGGGTCTTTCTGTTGTGTGCTGCAGGCTCTGTCCTTTGTTCATACCTGGTCCTGTCCGAAGGTCCTGTCTGCAGTCAGGGGCTGGTCTGGAGGATCTCTTAAGTTTGGGTGCACAGTAGACTGCACCAGGGCTCAGCCAGTGCAGGGCTATATCCTGGGACTCAGGGCCTCTGAGAGCAAAAGTCCACCTCACTGATGGGGGTAACCTTCTTTTAGCCCAGAGTAGTGGTGTCAGCAAAGTGGGGGAGTAGGGTTGCTGTGCCACACTGGGCTTGGGTGCATAATGTCACATCTTTGTTCTTTGTTCCAGTCAGCCGTTGGCCATGAGTACCAGTCAAAACTTTCCAAGCATTGCTCACAAGTAGACTCAGTCCGGGGCTTCGGAGGCAAGTTTGGTGTCCAGATGGACAGGGTGGATCAGGTGAGTGACAGGGCCAGGGCTGCAGGCCCCCTGCCACAGCTACAGGCTGCTGTTGCGGCTGCCCTTTTGGGCCAGTGCAGCAGTTCACAGGTGCCCGCTGACCCCGTGGAACTGCAGGAAGGGTGTCCAGATAAGAACTCACAAGCCTCTCTGATGCTGGCCTGTGTGAGGGGTGCAGACTGTCCAATGGGGAACAGGCAGTGACATGGAAGGCAGGCCTTGGTATGCTTGTCTAGTCCCTGACTCAATTACACTATGCCACTAGGGACCTTTGTCATTGCCTCCCCTGGATGGATGTGATTGATAGGCAGAGCCCTCCCTCAGAGAGGAGTTTGCTAAGCTGGAGTCTCAGTGTCCAGAGGCTTTGTCATAAGTCTGAGGCTGTTCCGATTCTCCCAGCCTAGGGCTGGCAGTGGGTTGGAAGCACACCACTTTCAGTGTGTGTCCTGGCTATGTGGTGTAGTAGCAAGGTCTGTCTGTCTGTCTGAAGTGGGGGAGATGCAGAGTCCCAGCTCCGGATCATGTTGGGGACAGGCCACCATGAGGTGAGGTCCCATGCAGGCCTGCCATCTTGCTAATGTTCTCAATAAAGCCTGTGTGGCAGGGGAATTAATTCCAGATCAGCATGCTGTGCCTGGAATAAGTCAGCCAAGCTGGTGCTGGGAGCCTGCGGGGGATGGAAGGGGGATCGGCACACACAGACTTGGGCAGTGATGATTGGATCTGTACTTTGCCTAGGAAACCAAAAGTCAAAAATTAACATTGTTCAAGCCTGGCTCACACCTTTATTTCCCAGCACCTGAGTGCTGAAGGCAGGAGAATTGCCATGAGTTCAGAAACAGCCTGGGCCAGAGTGAGACCCCATATTAATAAACAAAAAACTCAACACATGAGGCTGGGGAGATGGTTTAGATGTCACTGTGCAAGCATGAGGACCTGTGTTTGGATCACAGCATCCACATAAGCCAGGCTCAGTGTTAGGGGTAGGGAGTTGGGAGGAGATAGGAGGATGGCTGGAGCTTGTGGGCCACCAGCCTAGCTCTGGGTTCAGTGAGAGACCCTATTTCAAAGGTAGAGCAGAACACTGGACATCTTCCTGTGGCCTTTGGACATGCATGAGTACACGCACCTTCCCAAAAACCAACATTATCAAAATCTTTGTTTTCTGTGTGTTGTGAGTTCAGATGAGTCATCTCGGTGGCAATTTTCAAATGTCTCTTCCTTATGTTTTTGTCCCAAAGTCTGCTGTAGGCTTCGAATACCAGGGGAAGACAGAGAAGCACGCTTCCCAGAAAGGTAAGGGGAGTGCTGAAGCAGCCAGGTGGCGGGGAAGGCAAGGAGGCCTCGCTCTCTGTTCTGGGCTCTGGGGCCATTTGACTGTTACAGGTGTGTGGCCTCCCTGTTGGTGGCACACACAGAGCCCTGTATCTGCTGTCACATGTCCACTGTCTCCAGTGGAAGCTGCTTCTCTCTACCTGAGCAGAACAGCTCAGTGCCAGCTCTCTGGCACCGTGGATGAGTGAACAGCAAATGTGGGCCTGTAATTTCAGAACTGTGCCCTAAAACATGGAAAAGAGAGTTTTGATTGGTTTTCGTGATATCACATGAACTAGAACCTCTTTTCTTGTAGTACCCAGTGATTTTTGTTTTTTTGGTTTTTTTTTTTTTGGTTTTTTGGTTTTGTTTCTTTTAAGATAATGTCATGGTATCGAAACCTGGCTTTGAACTCTGTAATTCTCCTGCCTCAGCCTCATGAGTACTGGGATGGCAGGTGTTGGCACTTCACCTGACTGTGAATTGTCATTTTTGTTGTTGTTTCTTGTTTAATTTTGAGACAGGCTCATTCTGTAGCCCAGGCTGGCCTAGGCCTCATCGTGAAGTCCAGGTTGGCTTCTCCCTCCTGGTAGTATTCTGCTTCAGTTCCCTAGTACTGAGGCCATAGCTGTATAGACCATGCCTGACTGTGTGGCCAGTAAGACTAGAGTGAACACCATCATTTCTTTATATTCCCTCCCCTTATTTACTTATACATTTTAATTTACTTTGTATGTATCTGAAATGCAGGGGAGACAAACTCACAGGGGTCCATCATCCCCTTCTGACACGTGAATCCTGGGGAGGGAACTCAGGACATCATCAGGCTTACCCAGGGGCCCCTTACTTTGGTTCTTGAAACAGGATCTCACATTGTAGCCCAGGCTGACAATTCCTGGTGTAAACTACTATGGCCAGTTCTTTCTATTAGTTCAAAATAATTTCACATAATGGTGGGAAGTGATCTGACACTGCACAAAGTTTGAGGGTGTCCAGTGCCATCTATGGGATGTAACCCTTACATTTAAATGGGCGTCGCATCTCTCTGGAGTCTTAACCTTGCTGGCTGCCATCTTATCTCTTCAGACTACTCTAGTGGCTTCGGTGGCAAATACGGTGTGCAAGCTGACCGTGTGGACAAGAGTGCCGTAGGCTTTGACTACCAGGGCAAGACAGAGAAGCATGAATCCCAGAAAGGTGCGGCTGGATCTTGCGTTCCTTTATGGATAAGAGTGCTCTTATTTTTATTTTTTGTTCCTGTGTTCCTTTAATCTTTCCATCTTTTGATTTCTTTTCTCAAATGTATTTATTTTTATTTGACGTGTATGGCTGTAGATGGGTGTTTTGCCTTTATGTATGTATATGCCCTTTGTGCAGATCCCATGAAACTACAACTATAGATGGTTATGTGCAGCCTTGTGAGTGTTAGGAGTCTAAACAAGGTCCTCTGGGAGAGCAGCCAGTGCTCTTAACCACTCAACTTCTCTCCAATACAGTGGTTCTCAACTTGTGGGGCTTGACCCTTTTGGGGGTTAAATGGCCCTTGCACAGGGGTCATATGCCCGATATCCTGTACATAAATATTGTAATTCATAGCTAGCAAAACTATAGTTATGAGGTAGCAATGAAATAATTTTATGGTCAGGGGCCACCACAACATGAGAAATTGTGTTAAAAGCTTGCAGCGTTAGCGAGGTTGAGAGCCACTGCTGTAGTCTTCCATGCAGGGTAAAGGTGTTTTTACATGTTGATAGAGGTTGCAGCCATAGCCTGTCTTCCTTGTGCTGTTTGTTTTTTGTGCCCACGTGCGTCAGTTCTTTTTACTGTTTGCCAGTATTTGAAAATCAAGAGCAACCGCTTGGTGGTGGTGCACACCTTTAATCTCGGCACTCGGGAGTTTGAGGCAGGTGGGTCTCTGATTCTAGGCCAGCCTAGTCTACAGAGACAGCTAGGGGTACACAGAGAAATCTTGTCTTAAAAAACAAAACAAATAAACAAAAAAGAAAACTAAGAGCCTGTGTTGAGAAGAAGCCCTTGAGTTTCTCTAAAAACAAACAAAACAAAACAACAGGAAATCCCAGGAGACGCTCTGGGACTCAGTTCAGCAGGTACAAGTGCTTGCTGTGCAAGTGTGAGGACCTGAGTTTGATTCCCAGAATTCATATGAAAACTGGGCTTGGCACATAGAAAAATTCTTCTGTGTTCCCTGTTTATCTGTTGGGAGATGGGAGACACGCAGGAGAATCTTGACGCTCATGGGCCAGCAAGCCTGACATACTCAGTAGAAAATCAGGAAAGAGACCTTGTCTCAAGGTGGAAGGTGAAGACCCAAGATTGTCTTCTGTTCTCCACATCTCCACATGGTCACGCACACCACTCCCACCCCAGAGGCACCAAAACTTCTGGTCATGCTGGCTTGGCCCTGCCCCTTGGGAAGGGCCAGTCACCTGGGGCCTGCTGCTTTCCTTAGGCTTTTGCCTGGGGTACTGCGCAGCTGTGACTTTTTGTCTTCCCTGGGGCCAGACTTAACTCAGGTGGTGTGTGCTGAGCATTCTGGGCCATCCAGTCCTGGCTCCAAGCAGAGGCTGATGAGTGTACTTCTCCATGGCTGTGGCACATAGGCCCATAGGTTGCCTAGGGCTTTTCATTAAGAGTCTAAGTACCTGTAGTAAGTCATGTTATGACAGTGTAAGAGTGACGTGTCACGTGACCTTGTTAGAGTAGAGCTTGCATTTCTAGAATGTTCTCTACATGTGTTCTGTTTTTTTTCTTTAAAGGTTTTAGAAAATATATATTTTTTTATGTATATGAGTGTTTTGCCTGCATATATGTCTAATGATCACCACATGTGTGTCTGGTACCCGTGGAAGCCAGAAGAGGGTGTTGGATCCCCTGGAACTAGTGTTATGGATGGGTTTGAGCCACCACATGGGTACTGGGAATCAAACTGAGATCCTTTGGAAGAACAGTCTGTGTTCTTAATTGCTGAGCCAGCCCCAAAGACTGACTGACTTTCTTCCCCTTCCTTCCTTCCTCCCTCCTTCTCTCCATTCCCCCCTCCCTTCCTCCTTTCCTCTTTCTTTCTACATGTGTATGGGTATGTGTGTTTATGACATGTGGAGTACAGGTGCGTTCAGATCCCAAAAGAGGACATCAGATCCCCAGGAACTGGAGTTACAGATGGTTGTGAGCCACCATGTAGGTGCTGGGAACTGAACTCTTCTTCAAGAATATCCAGTGTTTTTAACTGCTGAACCATCTCTCCAGTCCCTTCTGTTTTTCTTTTTATTTGTTTCTTTTGTTTCTTTTTCTTTTATTTCCTGACAAGGGCTCACTTTATACCCCTGGCTGGCTTTGAACTCACTGTGTATTGGAAGTTGGCTTCAAATTCCCAGCAATCCTCCCTCCTCAACCTCCTGAGTACACAGGCATAAGCCACACACTTGGGCTCTGTCCTCTCATCATGAGGGTTCCAGGGATTGAGCCCAGGTCATCATAGTTAGTGGCAAGTATCTTTACCTGCTGAGCAGTCTTGAAAGCTCATGCTTTACCTTCTTAAAGACCATATAACATGCCCATTGACTCTGTTGCTGGTTCAATATTTTTATATTTATTCATTTTGTATATATGTATGGATATTCACGTGTGTGGGTCAGAGGACCACTTATAGGACTTGGTTGTCTCCTTGTACCATGTGGGTCCCAGGAATTGAACTCAGGCTTTCAAACTTGGCAGCAGGCACCCCTTAGCCTTCTGACCATGTCCATTGCTGATTTTTTTTAAGTACAGTGCTGTTCTTGTTTCAGATTATTCCAAAGGTTTTGGTGGCAAATATGGAATCGACAAGGACAAGGTGGACAAAAGTGCTGTGGGCTTTGAGTATCAAGGCAAAACAGAGAAGCATGAATCCCAGAAAGGTACCTGCCACCTTCTCTTCCTTTAGCCAGCCCCTTGCAGGGTGACAGGTGTGGCCAGGACAGAAGAGAAAAACTGTTGTCACCTGCAGTTTTTTAAATGGTCAACCTAAGATAGCTAGTCCCAGCCTGTAGTTATATAAGAACTCGGGCATTGGCCTCATCCTTGACTCTAAGCCCTGGTGTTGTTTGTAGCAATGTCCCTGTCACGCACGTCTGTCTGTGAGTGACGAGACCTCGTTGCCTTGAGGGCTGCATGTGTTGGCTTAGCCTGTTTAACCATACTCCTAAGACACCGTTATCTTGAGGAGGGCCTCTGATGGGTGTCAGCCGGGCTCTCATCCCAGCTGCTCCCTGGGGGAAGCTCGGGTCCAGTGAAGCGTGCCTCCTTGCATCTGAAACCTGCTTCCTCCCCCTGTTCTGGGCTGCGCAGTAATGCCAGGTTATGGCTTTCTGTTGTGCATGTAGACTATGTGAAAGGGTTTGGAGGAAAATTTGGTGTGCAGACAGACAGACAAGACAAGTGTGCCCTTGGCTGGGACCATCAGGAGAAGCTGCAGCTGCATGAGTCCCAAAAAGGTACCTCCTCTACCCTACTCCCAGCTTCCCTCAAGGGCCTTTGGGAAACTTGTGTCCATCCCTCAGTCAGTCGTGTGCCTCATGTCAGCTGTGTTTCTGTCTGAATTTCATTTTCATGGTGTGAAGTTTTCTGTGTCTCCTCCAATGCCAGGGGCAAGGGGATAGAGTGATTTGGTCCCATTACACCCCCTTTGCCAGTGCTGCGGCAGCTGGGAGCCTGGGTCCTGTAGCACCCATAGGGCCCTTTGGCCCTCTGGGTTCCCAGGGTTCTCCTCTTTAAGGTGGGCTGTGGCTTGTGGAGGGCACACTTCTTTCTGCGGTGCTGGGGATGGAACCTACAGCCTGGTCTATGCTGGACAGATTCTCTCTCTACCTCTGAGCCTCCCCCTCAAATCCTTTGTAACTGGGAGTGTTTTCTTGTCACAGTGGGAACTTTGTCCCAGGAAAAGCTGGTTTGAATGGGGTAAAACACTTGTAGTTGTCCCCAGCTGTCCCTCCAGCACAGGGAGTGGGGCTGGTAGCCCCTCTGTTGTCCCTTTCCTGTGGGTAGCCTGGAAGGACCCTGCAGACAAACCTCAAAGTGTGGAGAAGCTTTAACTAAACTATTTACCATCCAGCTCTGTTTGTTCCTTAACCCTTTGGTGAGCGTTAGACCCTCTGGCCTGGATCAGCACTCTTGCTATCCGAACGTGATATATTTGACCATTGCACATGCTCACGTGACTCTAATCTGGCTGTTTCCTCTTCCGGTCATGCTCCCCACTGTCTTGCGTGGATCTCCAGACTATAAGACTGGGTTCGGAGGCAAATTTGGTGTTCAGTCCGAGAGGCAGGACTCCTCCGCTGTGGGGTTTGATTACAAGGAGAGATTGGCCAAGCACGAGTCCCAACAAGGCACAGTTGCCCCTCCCTCCTCCCACCAGGCCTTGCAGTGCAGCCGACTTGCAGCATAGACTTCAGGGTTCACCGCAGCGCCTCCAGCTGCCAGAGATGTCCCCACCTAGTTTAATACTAGAGCGACATCCTGGAGCTCTGTCCCTTTCCTCCTTTCTCCCTCTGACCTTTAGAGTTCACGTTAGGAGGCACTCTGCAGGCCAGGTCAGTACAGTTTCTGCAGTGGACACCTCTGGCCTCATTGCTGTTGACCACCAGCGATGAATCTCTGAGCCCCTCCTCATTGCCTCTGATCCACAGGGAGGTGGGTTTGCTCTCCCAGACCTGATGTTAACTAGACACTGGGGTCATAGGAAAGACAGGTGTGTTTCTTGTGGTCTCTGTGTCTTTGTTTGTAGAGTTTTTCTTTTTGTTTTTTGTGTTTGGAGGTTTTTTGTTTTGTTTTGTTTTGTTTTGTTTTTTGGAGGGGGGGTTGGCCACACCATCTGTGTGTAGCGTCTCCACCCAGAGCCACACTGTATGTGCACACTGTGTGCATGGCTGATGCAGGCAGGTAGAGGCATGCCCTGGTAATCTCAGTATCTATTGCAACTTTTTTCTCCTTGAGAGATTAGACCTGGTGTCCAGGCAGAGGCATGTGACGCCCTGAATCAGGGTGGAGTGTAGGCTCACAGATGCCAAAGGGCCTGGGGTGGATGTACTTAGTACTGGCCTAGCAGACTGTGTGGAGGTGGCCATTGGTTCCTGTGGTGTCGAGGCTGCATGACTGTCACTTTCATGTGTTCGTGTGTGTGGCAGTGACAGACATATTTGTCTGGTGGCATTTCGACACGGAGGTTTTTTTTTTTTTTTTTTTTTTTTCTTTTAAAAAGCAAGAGAACAAACTACAGTGGGGCCTCTTATTTAGTCCCCAGTAGAGCAGGCGCCCAGGAAGCAGATGAGAATAAGGCCCTGGCTGGTGTGAAGACTGTGCTATAGAAGTGTGCACTGCAAAGGCCTGTCCTGTGCCCTTCCTCTCTGGCTTCCTTCCCACTGGCCTGCTGCCCATCCCCTCCCTATCCCCCTTCCTGGAAGCATGCCCACACCTCACCTGCTCCCTCCCTGCACTGGGCACTGTGATTAGACAGCTGGCTTTGCCAGGAGAGCCCGTCCTCGGGCAGCTTTCACATCCCTCTGCTCTGGTTTGTGTCCCTGGGCTGTTTTGTGGACCCCTATGCATGTGCCTGCCATTGCTCGCCCATTCTCAGCCTTACAGAAGTCTTGCCTGTAACACCTTTCAGACTATGCCAAAGGATTCGGCGGGAAGTATGGGGTACAGAAGGACCGGATGGACAAGGTAAGACCAGCGAAATATTGTGGGGTGTTCTTCCAAGGACCCTTGGCTCACAGCACTGGAGGTCTGTCCTGAAACATGGTCCTAGGAACCTTGCATACTTCATGTAGCACACTGTGGGTCCATTCTGTTTCACATTTGGAGCTGAGGCAAGCAAGTCAAGTGCTGGTCACAGCATCACAGTGAGTAGTGGGATGCAACCCAGGGACCTGATGAGAGGGTCTTAGGGACATGTGACTGTTTGAACTTTTGTTATCAGTAGGCCAGGTAAGAACCAGATCTTGGCTGGCACTTTGGAAGTGTTTAGTGATCACATCTAATCACTGGCTATCATCACAGACAGCAGGAGCTAGACCGTTAGTCTTGTTGCACATGGCCAACAGGTGGGACACACAGGTCTCTGGTCTGTTCTTTCTCACTCTTTCCTTCAGATGGAGTCTTGTTCTGCTTCCCAGGCTGGCTGTGATTCTTCTGCCTCAGTTTCCATAGTTGGGTACTGGTGCTAGGTCCCATTTTGTCTCGCTTTATCTCTTACAATTAAAGCACGTTCCTGTGGAAACAGTTTGTTTCTTCTCCCCAGATTCCCCCATCTGCCTGTTGCTGCTTTTGATCAGTTTGGGGGCCCTGCAGGGTCAGCTGTGAGACAGCGAAAGAATTGTTCTCCTGGTGTGTTGGCTACTCGTGGGGAAAGCATTGGGGGCTGCTAGACAGCTCTGCAGGTTCTCAAACGGCCTGGCAGGCACTGCTTTCCTCTACTTGAGGTAGCTGCATCTTCTCATCTGCATAAATGCAGATGTTTGTTCCACAGATTTGTTCTTCCATTAGGCTTGCAGCTCACTGTGGTTGGCATCACCCGAGACATCTGCCATGTCTTGGCTTCTGCCAAGATGCCAGGGCTTCTCAGGAATTGCTTGGGCAAAATGTCCCTGAGAAAGCCAGATGAACTGAGTGTAAAAATGATGTGTATGCATGTCTATATGTAGGTTTATATGTATGTACATGCACATATATGTGCCACAGAGTACATGTGGCGGTCAAATTACAACTTGTATGAGTTGGTTTCTACCACGTGGGTCCCAGGGATTGAATTCAGGTCACTGGGCTTGGAGGCAAGCGCCTTTGCCCAGTGAATACTCTCAATGGTCCGTGGGCCAAGTTCTGAGGACGGACTGAAGCTTGTCTGCAAAAATGGGATCAGGGACAATGATGCAGAGGGTGCCATCAGGAGCCTGGTTTAGGAATGAGGTCATTGCAAATGTGGAAGAGTAAGAGGAGACAGTTCTAACTGCATCATTTCCTGCTGAGGGAAGGGACCTGGGAAGCCTATAGAAAATGCAGCATGTCCTTTACTGAAGGAACCTGAGTCCAGGCACAGTTGCATACACCTGTAACTGTAGCACTTGACAGAGCAGGAGGGTTGATCTGACTCTAGGCAGTGGTGGAGCCTTGCAGAGTCAGAGAACTTGGGTAGAGAAGATGAGGCTAATAAGGCTTTAGGCAGCCAGGGTGCTGCAGGGCTGTCCCAGTGGGAGGGTGTGAGGGACCTGCACTGTGCTGAGGGGCACCCCCACGGCTTTACCTGCCAGTCAGCAGAGACTGAGCAGGGAGACTAGATGGGGTGGCAGGAGACCAGGTGTGTGGTGGCTGAGGGCCCTGTGGCAGAAGACTTGAGGAAATGAGTGAGTTATTCAGAGGCTGGCATTGAGGAAGTTGTGGTGTCTGTGGTTGGTGGTGATGGTAAAGATGGCGACTGCTGACATTGTGCAATTGGAGTCAGGAAATGATGTGGTTAGAAGTCTCTTCTTCCCCTGCCAGCCAGACATGGCCGTTTTCTCTGTCTGTTGCCCTGAGAGAGCCCAGGGTCCTTCCTGCCCAGGGGACTGTGGGGTGGGATCAAGACCCAGGCTGTGCCATGAGGCTAGCCTAACAACAGTAGTTCATTCCCATAGTAATTGAGATGAGGTGGTGAGCCTGATGCCAGCCTGTCCCTTCCTAGAGAGGAAAAGTATTCCTCCATTGTGGCTTTGGGCAGTTATGAGTGACCCAAGGGCAAGAGTGGCCACCCTGTTGGGCTCCACTGGGCTCCTGTTGGATTGAGGGCCAACATGGGATAGGATCTGAGGAGGGGGAGACCCACGTAATGGGGATGGGAGAGATAGGAGGCTGGGGTCAAGACGCAAGGCAGGGGCTAGGTATGCTTCAGTGGTGAGACTGACTTAAGGTTGGAGAGGCCCTAGGTGTCACCCCAGCATGCTTAGGAAAAAGGGGGTGCTGTGATTTGGAAGGTGGGGCATTGGTGAATGATTGAAAGGAATGGGTATATAGAGATGGATCGGGTTTCCCCAGGTGAGGGCAGAGCATCCTGAGATTGCAGACCAGACGGGGGCCTCCTGGACAGTGAGCTGAAGGATGTTCTGGAGGAGCAGGATGAGGTTGGGCTTAGGAGCAGGGAGTCTGGGACTTGGGAGAGGGATGGCGATGGTGCTAAGGTGAGCACAGCTCTGATCCGACGATGGCTTTCAGCCGGGAATGGCTCCATAGGGAGATCAGGCAGGGTGTTGGGGCAGTGAATGCTCTAAACCCTGAACATCTGTTAGAAGCCACATGGCTGGGGACTGTCACTGTTGTCAGTGCTCTGCCAGCCCGTGTCTAGGTCAGCCACTGGCTTCCGTGACCCCTGCCAGAGTAATGCTGGAGACTGTACATGTGGCTGAGGTGTGTGATGTCAGGGGGCAAGGAGGGGGCCTGACCAGGTGACCCTGTGACCTACAGAGCCTCACAGTGTTTTGTGCTGTAAGTGCAGGAACGTGTTCCTGCGTGTTAATCAGTGAGTCTGTGGAAGGGGAGCCGCACCCAGGTGACTGTAGAGTGCAGGATGGGGGCCACAGCTCAGTTTTGTGGAGGTGTTTTGAAAGCTAGGAAAGTCCCCTCACATTCCCTAGTGACAGCTGTCCTGGCTGGGAAGGAACAAGGACACTACCCCCTGACTCCTCTCTGTCTCTGCAGAATGCATCCACCTTTGAAGATGTGGCCCAGGTGCCCTCTGCATACCAGAAGACTGTCCCCATTGAGGCTGGTGAGTCCTGGCAGTCCAAAAGTACCGTGCGGGCCTGGGGTACACTATTGGTGCCCGCCCCATGGCCCCCTAGGCATGGCTGAGGGAGGAGCATCACCGTGTGGGGTGTTAGTGAGAGCTGCTGCTGGTGACCAGGTTCTGGGAGCAGCCTACGTACATCCCTGGAGCCCACTTCTCTCACGGTCCCGCTGTGGCCTGAGGCTCATAAAATGTCATGGTTTTTTGAAGAGACGCAGAGGGGTCTCAGTCTCTCCCCCACTAGCTTTGCCAGTGGCTCAGAAACATGTCCTTTCAGGTGCTTCCAGGGTACGTGAGCATGCGACACGTCCAGAGAGTTCCCTTTGCATATAAGATAGACATCCCCAGCTCACATCAGTAGGTAGAATGACCACTGGCAGACACACGGCTCAGTTCTTGGGCCATTTTGATACCATTGGGACCTTTTGCAAAGACCTCTGCAGGCACCATTTGTGTTTATTGATATCTATTATATGTCAGATTAGAAGGGTCCAGGCATGGTGGCATATGTCTAGAATCTCAGCACTTGGAAAACTGAGGCAGTTGGCTTGTCACAAGGTCAACACCAGCTTGGGTTACCTATTGAGGCTTGGGCCAGCCTGGACAATACAGTGAGACCCTGTCTCAAAATAAGAAGTGGGGAGAAGGGGTAAATGAATTGTTTTTAAAACAACAAAACTATGAGGTACTTACATAGAGACATGGAAGTTAGCTCCAGTGTCAGACTGGGTAAATAGGGTGGCATTGTAACAGGACCACGGGCTTCTCCTGCCTGCCGGGGCCTTACAAGGGAACAGGAATGACTGTTCTAGGCAGGGGAAGAGGATGCTCTCAGGGAAGCTGTGGGAGCCCAAGGCCCCTACACAGTGGGCTGTGGTTTCCCCAGGGCCGGGGATTCCCCTGGGCTGTGGTCTCTGAGTATTTCCGGAGTTTTGCTCACCCTGTGGTCTATTACTTGTACTTTGTTATTTTCAGATAGCAGATCTCCAGATTAGGCCTGTTACCCGACTGCAGAGCCCTTACAAACAATCTGGGAGGTCATACCTGTCTCCCATCTCATTATAACCTTTAAGTGACAGTTGTCATTCACATCGTATTAGTTAGGGTTTCTGTTGCTGTGATGAAACTCCATGACCAAAAGCAACTTGTGGGGGTGTTATTTGGCTTATGTGTCCACATCACTGTCCATCATTGAAGGAAGTCAGGACAGGAAGGAACTCAAGGAGGGCAGGAACCTGGATGCAGGAGGCTCTGGAGGGGTGCTGCTTACTAGTTTGGTCTCCATGGCTTGCTCAGCCTGCTTTCTTATAGAACCAGGACCACCAGCCCAGGGCTGGCATCACCCATGTACTGAGCCCTCTTACATCAATCACTGATTAAGAAAATGCCCAACAGGCTTGCATGCAGCTTGACCTAATAAAGGCATTTTCTCATTGAGACTCCCTCCTCTCCAATGACTCCTGTTTGGGTCAGGTTGATATAAAACTAGCCAGCACACCTTGGTAGCAGCTACAAATGTCCAACAACTCAGATTTGTTTGCTTTTTATTTGTTTGCCTTTGTAGACAGGGTTCCACAGTATTTCCTAGGCCAGCCTTGAGCTCACTGATGTGCTAAGGATGGCTTTGTATGTAACATAGCCTGCTGCCACAGTCTCCCAAGTGCTGAGGTCCCAGGCATGTGTTATGACCTGGCCAACCCAGGAGTTTCGCTTGAAAACTTCACTTTCATATTGACAAGCAGCAATATCTTTCTTCCCTCCTGTTTTTTTTTTTTTTTTTTTTTTTTTTTTTTTTTTTTTTATTCTGTTTTGTTTTGAGACAGTGTCATGTAGCCCAGGCTCGCCTAGAACATCTGGTCCTCCTGCCTCAGGCTGTGTGGTGCCAGGATGACCGGTGTGACCACCACACTTGGCTCAGCTATTACATTTTCTTTACTGGGCAGGCTCACTTTGGAGGAAACGCCTGCCAGACACTCTTGTGTGGCTGCTTCTTGTTGTGTCTGGGGAAAATGGTGTTCCGTGAACAAACCTGTTCACTTGTGAGCTCAGTAGTACAGGAAGTCTGTTCTGAAACAGATGTCTGACTGATGCCCCCCCCCCCATTTGCGTCACACAGTGGAGGGGAAGTATATTCAAGGGTCCATGTGCATTGAAAACGGATGCCCTTTTGCTGTTCTAAAACCATCCCCCCCCTTTTCTGTGGTGCTGTGGATGGAACCAAGGGCCTTATGTATGCCAGGCAGCGGCTCTATCACTGAGCCACACCACAGTCCCTCATTAGGGCACTCTAGGTCTTTTTCTCCTGCTGAGCTACATCCCAGCCCAGCCTTCATGGTCAGAGAGCTTAACTATTGCTCCATTCAGCCTGAGCATGTAGTGCTTGACTATGATCGTATCTGGCTTACCTGTGACCCAGACCCAGAGCTTCTGATCCCATTAGTCTCCCTTGGGCTTGGTGTGTGGCTGGCCTAAGGTGAGTTGACTGTATTCCATGGATCTTTCTCCAAGGTCACCTTGGTATGGTTTTTGTTCTGGTGAGGTGTTCTGAGACAGATGTGCTCTCTCTCTCTCCTCTAGTGACCAGCAAAACCAGTGATATCCGAGCTAACTTTGAAAACCTGGCGAAGGAGAGAGAGCAGGAAGACAGGCGGAAGGCAGAAGCAGAGAGAGCTCAGCGGATGGCCAAGGAGAAGCAGGAGCAGGAGGAGGCTCGAAGGAAGCTGGAAGTAAGTAAAGATACTGAAGAGTAGAGGAAGTGGGTATGGGGGAAGGGCTCCTTCCTGAAGCCTCTGTGGTATGCTCGCTTGCCACTGAGAGGGGTTTCTTTGCTCCCAGCTATATTCAGGAGGAGCTGGTAGGAAGGCTCGTTTACACAGCAAACTAGAGTAACTTGATCACCCACTACCTGGGCATCTTCAGCCCTTATGGCCCTCCAGAATGATTGGGAAATAGAATCGTCAACAAGTCATACGGAGGTGTTTTATGAGTCTGGTCTCAGATTCTCTTGGTGTTAATTCCTCTGTCATGTGGTCTTTTTATGTCCTACCCACCCCATTTCTTCTCCCCATGAGATGAGACTCTGACGTACCATCTTCTGTCAGTTTTGAGTTGACAAGACCAGTTGACAGTGAGGGCTCTTCTTGGCACCTGGCTGGTTGTAGGGAGGGCTGGGAGAGCCCCACAGCCCACAGCTGCAATTGGACTGACTCAACAGCCTGGCCTCCTGATTGTGCTGTAGGCTCGAGCCACACAGATGGTTCTTGCCCTCAGGTGCACAGGACCACCAATGCCTGGGATGTTCATCTTTGGTGATTGCCATGGCTACCCTGGGGGTACAGAGTAGGCAGCTCCATGGATGCAGAGACTGTTAGTCTTTACGTGTTTCTCTCAAGAGCACACAGTGTGACCATTGTGCCCCTAGACAGTAGAGTGAGAGGGTGTGGAGTGGATGGGTGAGTTCCAGGCGTGTCTCTGGGGCCTGACTGCAACCCTAAACATCTCCTGTGGGGACATGTGGGTTTCAGCAAATTTTCCATGCTGCCATCTGAGCTTGCTCTCCAAGTGGTTAGAATGCCCCATACCTGATGCCACAGCCCTCAAGTCCAGGCATCCTGAGGGATGTTGCCTAGCTGTGGCCCTGGAGGCTTTGGCCAGATCCTGGTGAACATCTCTAGGCTTCTTGGCTCTTTGGCTCGTGGCCACCTCCCTCACCTGTCGCCTGCATTCCTCATTAGCCCCCACTCCCAGCTATCTCTCTCTCTTACCTCCCTCTTGTCAGGACTTCCAGGTGACACGGGCCTGCTGACAGCCTGGAATGGTTCCTGTTGTCTTGGTGTTCTGTTGCAGTCCTTGGGACCAGGATTTTGCCTTGTTGGGACATGGTCTGTGGAGAGGAGCCCACCTATCAGTCCCCTGGGGTCATGTCTGCTCCATGTGCAGAAAATACCTACCCATTAAAAGGTCCCTGAAACTTTTGGCCCTTGGTAGCATTGGCTCAGAGCCCCAAGTTGGGAAATGAGCTGATGACAAAATGGAGTGGCTGCTCGATTACACTTCTGTCCAGTGTCCCTGTCCACTGCACATCTAAGTGTGATGACACAGGAGGGCCAGAGGCCAGAGTTCCTGAGAAGGCCAGACTATAGCTTTCATTTCAAAGCCACCTGACCCTGTGATCAGTGCTTTCTACTCTCCCTGTGGGCTCCAAGCTTCCCACCTGGGCACCACCCCCTTACAAAGTGTCAGATGTGACTTCCTGGCTGACTGAGTAACCATGCATTTGCTGTCCTTCTATCTTAGGAACAAGCCAGAGCCAAGACGCAAACGCCCCCTGCATCTCCTAGTCCTCAGCCAGCTGAGGACAGACCACCCTCCAGCCCCATCTACGAGGTGGGTAGTCCCTTGACCAGTTGGCTGCCCTAGACTCCTGCAGACGTGTGTCACCCTCTCCTTCTGTTTCCCTGGAACAAAGTGTTCCCCCCCAGGTTGGATGTCTTCGCCTTTGGGCAGCCTATGGCACCATGGTCTTCCTCTCCCTGAAACTTCTGGGAGGTCAGTAGAGGTCACATGCTTAGTGTGTTTGTCACACCAACTATGCTCCCTCTGGAACCTACCATCCTTTGGCTCTGAGATAGTATTCTCTTGGCCCTTGGAGCATCTTGTTCTCTGGTCCCTATGCCCTCCTCACACAAAAGTCTGGGGAGTCCTTGCCTCATCCCTGCCTAGCATCTCCCACATTCTGCCTGGACTCAGGGCTCCCTCACTGAAGTAAGCCCCCCTGCCCACAGCCACATCCCATGGGTCCAATCAGTCCTCACATGCTGCCCTTCCATTATGTAGGTAACATTGCTCATGAGTTTTGGGAGAGCTTGGACACAAACTGGGACTGGGACTTAGGGGGCCATGACCTCTTTACCACCAGGATTCCCTCTCCTTGACACCATTGTTACTTGCCCTGCATGGCAGGCAGCCTTTCCATGCAAGACTTCTTGGTAGATGTGACCCGACAGAGTGGCCATGAGGCATTCCCACATAGCCATCCCTCCTGCTGGGCCAGGTGCTGAAGCACTGGTCCTTTGATGAGGCTGGTGACAGTGCTGTTCTTGGACATGGACAGGCCTTGTGATTGGCAGCTCAGCTGGGACCAGAACTGAGGGAAGTACCTGAGATGCTGTGATGAGAAGTTGGGACAGGGCTCAGTGTGGAGCCACCATACCAGGAACTGGCTGTTAGCCTTTTAGTCTCCTCTGGCTACCATCATCTTGCCAAATGGGACCAGTCTTAGACCTGAGTGATCTCCTTGGCCTGTGGCAGCTTGTCCTATATGGTCACCCTCCACAGGAAGCTTCCTGTCCCCACTCCCTGTGTATAAAGTTTGTGTAACTTATGGAGGCCACTTGTGAGCGGACCTCTTCTGTCTCTGATGACAGCATGAGAAACGTCTGCTTGTCTCCTCAGGATGCAGTGCCGTTCAAGGCAGAGCCCAGCTACCGAAGTCCTGTTGGCGGGAATGAGCCTGAGCCTGTGTACAGCACTGAGGCTGCAGGTGTCCCTGAGGACAGCAGTCAGCAAAACTTAGCCTACACCTCGGAACCTGTCTACGAGACCACAGAGGTCCCTGGCCACTACCAAGCAGGTACTGGACCCCACCATAGCTATGTCCAGGGGATGAGGGTACCTGAGAAGTCCTTTCCTCTGTTACGCTCCTCAGAAAGGGTTGGCTTGCTAGCTGATTGCCTAGGAATGTGAGTTCTGTGTCATCCCTGGATTGGGAAAGGTTAGATACAGTGTTCCCTAGTAGGGCAGTGCTCCTATCGTGTGGTCCTGGGAAGGTTCCTGCTGTGCTGTGTGGATGGTTAAGGCTGCAGTGGGGAGGGATCTACTGGCCTGACGAGTCCTCCCCTTGAGGGCTCTGCCTATTGTCCAGCCACCTCCCCATGCTTTGAAGGTGAACCAGTGCTTCAGCTGACAGTGAGGCTGACTCGTTTACTTTGAAAATGAAGTTCCAGTGAGACACTAGACAGGGGCAGGGCCTTAGCTGCTGTCAGCCTCACTGTCCCAGGGCAGCCTTTGGTGCCAAGCCTCAATTACTCTGGCCTCTTGCTTTAGTGGCATCAGACTTTTTATTTATTTATTTTTTTTTCCAGTGTCTGTCTTAGTTAGTGTTCTTTTGCTGGGAAGAGATACTATGACCAAAGCAGTTTTTATAAAAGAAGATATTTAATTGGGGCCTTGCTTACAGTTCCCAGCAGTTTACTCCATCATTACCATGGCAGGAACCATGGCAGGCACGGTGCTGGAGAAGTAGTTGAGAGCCCTGATCTGCAGGCAGAGGGTCAGGGGTGCAACACTGGGGCCTGGCTTGGGCTTTTGAAACCTCAAAGCCCACCCCCAGTGACACACTTCCTCCAATAAGGTCGCACCTCCTAGTCCTTCTAATCCTTTCAAATAGCGCCACTCCCTGGTGACTAAGCATTCAAATATACGATTCTGTGGGGGCCATTCTTACTCAACCACCACAGTCTCATTCAGTCAGTAGCCCTGGCTGGCCTAGAGTTCACTGTAGCTCCAACTGGCCTTGAATGTGGGGTGATCCTCCTGCCTCTGCCCCACAGGTGCTAGGATTGCAGCCGCCATCTTGCTAGGTTTGGAAAAGGGTCTTGGTACTTGTTAACTTATCCATGTGGCCATGCTTCCCTGTATGTGTCAGAGCTCAGTGTCTGAGCTTTGCTGTTGAAAGCAAGAGTCCTGTCTTAGGGTTTCTACTGCTGTGATGAAACACCGTGACCAAATCAAGTTGGGGGGAAACCATTTGTTCAGCTTACACTTCCACATCGCTGTTCATTGCCGAAGGAAACTAGGACAGGAACTCAAACAGGGCTACAACCTGGAGGTGGGAGCTGATGCAGAGGCCTTGGAGGAGTGCTGCTTCCTGGCTTGTTCCTCATGGAACAAGCTCAGTCTGCCTTCTTATAGAACCCAGGACAACCACCCACAGTGGGCTGGACCCTCCCTCATCAGTCCCTAACTAAGAAAATGCCTTACAGTCAGATTTTATGGAGGCATTTTCTTAATGGAGGTTCCCTTCTTTCAGATGACTGTAACTGTGTCAAGTTGGCATAAACTAGCCAGGACAAGTCCTTTTGTTTCTAGGTGGTATCTTACTCCTCCATCCCAGCACCTGCCACGTAGGAACCCAGCTGTGAGGTCTTTTCTAGCAAGCTCTCCGTCTGTTCTTGGGAAGTGTGTCTGGGGTGGTTGGCGGGTTGCTCAGCAGCTCTGCTTTACTTCCAGAAGACGACACCTACGATGGATATGAAAGTGACCTGGGCATTACAGCCATCGCCCTATATGACTACCAAGCTGGTGAGGCACTAAATGTGGGCTGGGGCACAAATGTTCCTGCCCTGGGTCAAGTTCCCCGCCACTCCCTTCCTGAGACCAATGCAGGGCAGGAATGCAAAGCTGTTTTATATTTGCTTTTGATCAGGGTTTGTGTTACCCAGTCTGACCTTGAACTCTCAGGCTTAAACAGTCTTCCTGTCTCAGTCTTCCCAGTGGCTGACACATTAGGTGCGCATTACTGAGCTGAGTTTCTGTAGTTCATCTGGAAGTAACTTTAGAACAGTTATCTGGATGCCCATGTCTGTGCCCCATTCCTTTGTCTCTCGTCTTCGTCTGAACCCTGGGGATCTGAGGCTGCAGAGCCACCTTAGTCATGGCTGGGGAGAGGGTTCCATGTGAACATACCCCACACACATGGCCCAGGGACTACCTTGCTCTGATGGTCAGGAGATCTTCCCTGTGTCATGCCAGCACACCCATCCCACATGACCTAGTTCCATTAGCTCAGGTGGATTGGGTGTGCTGATAGGACACAGGAAGAGGCCCTAGTTGATTTTTGGGATACATGTCTGGTTTCCCTCAAGTCCTTAGGCCCCCAGGCTGAGATCTTTCACAACAGAGACCTGGCATGCATTTCCTGTACACACATGGGTTCTGTAACTTTGGCCATCACCTCACATCTCTCTAGAGTCTAGACTTTTGTGCATAACCTCGGCAGTTCTCCAGTATCCCTCTCCCTTGCTGTCCTTGTCATGTGTATAACCATAAGGCCCTCTCTACACCCTTTCCCCTGATGGGTGGGCATCTTGGTCTCAGCTGTAATGTCCTTCTGCCTGGTCAGGTGACCTCTTCTGAGTCCCTCTCTTCTCTCTCCCTAGCTGGCGATGATGAGATCTCTTTTGACCCTGATGACATCATCACCAACATAGAAATGATTGACGATGGCTGGTGGCGTGGGGTGTGCAAGGGCAGATACGGGCTCTTCCCGGCCAACTACGTGGAACTGCGGCAGTAGGGCAGCCACCCAGTGCCCACCAGCACCAGCACAGGGTTCACACTACAGACTATCTGCGAGCATTTGAGTTGGTTTCTGGGTTTTTTTCTTCCGAAGGTGGGGGAGGGGAATATACATATTGCCTTTATATTTAATACTTCTGCTGATGCTTCAGGCATGTCTTGCCACAGAATTTGCTAATACCCGATAATCATGTTCACAGAGAACTTGGGGTGATTACTTTGAGCCATCCCAGGTGTTTTCTTTTCTGCCAAGTTGACTGTGGTATGTAGCCACTTCAGGGTCTCTGCTTCTCCTGAGGCTGGTGGTATATGTGGCCTTGTGGCCCCCACCCCCCCATGGCTGTTGGGGTCCCCCAGGATGGAGACTGCTCCTGGAGTGGGTGCCCGGTGAGGATGCTCTCTGGGGTCCAGTGTTTGGAAGACAGGAAAGGGGACCAAGGGAAAGTGAGGTGGTGGTAGCGGGGATGGTGGGAGTCCCGGAGCATTGACACTGCTTGGGAACTCCTCTCTTGTCAGTACTGACAGTGTGAGCCAGGGTCCCTTGCCTCCTCATCTCGCCTCTTTACCTCCTCCATACCTCGGCCCAGGTTGAACCTCATCTCCTGCCTTGCCTTGAAGTGTTACCTTCTCCTGTCTGCATTCAAGGCCCATAGCACAAGGCATATCTTAGTGAGATGCTGGCAGCTATCCTGGGCTTGGCCTGCAGTGTGGGAAGGTGGAATGTGTTGTGTGTGGCCAGTCACATGGCTGGCCAGGCAGATAGATACCTTTCCCCTGCAAGCTTCCAGAAGCACTCTCCCTGCGGGGGAGCGGTGTTCTTTTTGCCAAATATCATGTTCAATTACAGTTGATTGATTGATTGATTGATGGGGCTGAAAACAGGACTGTGAGGGAGCTGCGGCTCTCACTTGGGTGCCTGCCACAGCCTCCTTGAACAACTGTCCCTAAGATGCTTTCAAGTCTCTGAGACAACAGGAGGCTGGGCCATGCTGGTTGTTCACATTCAGGCGGATAGCATGTCCTTGTAGACAAGTCTCCACTTTTGGGACACATGAGAATTGATGGCCATCTCCATGTGCTTTCCTGCAGAATCCTTGCCTTTCTATTGTTAGGTTGGGTTTTCTATATGAATTATCATCTGGAATTCTGTAGTACACCTCATTAGGTATGGATTTTTTTAAATTAAAAGACTCAGAATAAAACTTTTTTTGATCCATTTGCTGTGTGGTCTCCTGTAGTGCTTGGTCTCAGTTCTGCTGTTTGAGGTGGCATTGGGGCTGGGTTCCCAGGTGCCCAGCTCAGATAGCCTTTGTCAAGGGTGCGCTGTCCCTTGCCAGGACAGCTGGGCAGCCCTGGAGCCTTGAAAGGGCCACATTCCTTGGCAGCTGCTTTCGGCTGAGGTGGACTCTCAGGCCACCAGTTTCTCCATCAAGGATCTGATCTGAGCAGGCAGATGGCCCAGTTGTCTAAGTGCTTGCTCCATGTCTTAGGTTTTGTTACTGTGACAAAAGAAACTTTAGGGAGCAAGGGCTTATTTTGGCCACAGTTTGAGGGTACAATCCATCGTGGCAGAGAAGGCATGGCTGAAGTCAGACTTTGCTTTGTGGGACTGTTGGCCCACAAATAATCACATAGAGACTTATATTTATTATGAAAGTTTGGTCTTTAACTTAGCCTTGCTTCTAATTAATTCTTATAACTTAATTAACCCGTAATTTTTAATCTCTGTTCTGCCACGTGGCTCTTCACAGTCCCTCAGTATGGCGCGTCCAACTTGCTCCTAGTCTGCTGCTCCTAGTCTCCTAGTCACACACCTAGATTCCTCCTCCCAATTCCTCTCTTCCTGAAGTCCTGCCTATCCCCTCCTGTCTTGCTATTGGCTATTCAACTTTTTATTAAACCAATCAGAAGGGGCCTTAGGCTGAGGCACATCTTTACAGTGTATAAAAAGATTATCCCACAACACCCGGTGGCAGTTGGTCACATCACATCCAGAAGGCACTCCTGCCCAGTTAAACGTCTTCCCATGTCAGTTAACATAATCAAATAATCTCCCACAGGCATGGCCAGAAGCTTGTATTTCCAGTGAATCTATGTCCTGTCACACTGAAAGCATCCTGCTCCACAAGTACACTAGCACTTAATTTAAAAAGCCAGGTGCAGAAAGGTGTAGTGCTGCTACTTTTAATCCCAGGCAGGTTGATCTCTGAGTTCAGGACACATGGTGAGAGAGTATTAAAAAAAAAAAAAAAAAAAAAAAAAAAAAAAAAAGTCCATGCAGAATTGGAGAGATATCTCAATGGTTAAGAGTTCATGAGTTCCTTCCTCTTCACCCATGTTGGGCCAAACATAGCTACCTGCCTCAGATCCAGTCGATCCTATGCATCTGGTTTTTGAACTGCATCTGCACACACATGGGCATACCCACACACAAACCTATATTCATACACATAATTTATTTTCCAGACAGGCCTTGTAGCCCTGGAACTTGCTTTGTAGACCAGGCTGGCCTTGACTGCAGAGATCGGCCTGCCTCTGCCTTCTGAGTGCTAGGATTAAAGGTATGCATCACCACCACCCAGCTCCATAAATATGAGTAAAGCAAAACAACAACAAAATCTTTTTAAAAAGCCAGGTGCAATAGGACTTGCCTTGTAATCCCAGCTCTGAGGAGGTAGAGTCTGAAGATCCCTAAGGTTCATTGGTCAGCCAGCCTTGTGTAATATTTTTATTTCATTCTGATAACAAAGCTTGCTTTGAGTCACAGGACAGAACTAGTCACTTGTTTACAAAAATTAACCATAGAGGTTTGGAGGCCTGTGGACAGATAGGAGACAGGATAGTAAGGGCTGAGAGAAGATCTTAGCCCTTTTGGAGGAAGGAATGGAAGAGGTAGGAGGTGATTGGTGCCTTGTCCACAGCTTTTCTGATCATTCAGGTTCTTACTCCAATATTTGACTCCTGATTTTTTATTGGTAAAGAATAATTAGTTAAACACATCACCTGGTGTTCAACTTAGGGCACAAATTCACGAGATAGTAGCTTATTTCTGGCTTTGCATCCACTGACAGCTGCTAGAGCTGCATTCACCACGCTGCTGGCTGACTTTTCCTTTCTTTCCCCAAGCCCTCTATGTTAGCATCCAGACACATCTTGACCCTGCCCACTGGGGACCTGGTAGAGTGCATCACCCCTGTGTACTTGGCAAGCAGTGGCAAGCAGTACCCTGGCTCTACACAGCCACAAAAGGTCTCTTTAAGAGACAAGCTCTGGTTAGAGGCAAGCATCCCAGCCCAGGAATGGCAGAGGTGAACGAGCAACCGGAAGCATTGACAGTAGCAGCTCCCAGAAGCTATCGTAAGAAGTTGCTCTGGTAAAGAGCACCTGTGCTCCAGCCAGCATCCAGTGCCATTCTCTATACTCAGTACCCTGCTACATCAGCTACCACCAGAGCCTCAGCCCTACCTGGAGGATCTGTCATGGGAGGCTCTGCCCTGTCTGCACCTGAAGGAGTGGTCATCGGAGCCTATACTAATTGGAGGAAGAAATGGGCAGACAACGGTGCAAGAATACCATCAGCAACATAAAGAGCAATATGGCACCACCAGAAACTAGTAGTGGTTCCACAACAGCAAGACCTGAACATCCCAATTACAGATGAAGCAGAACAAAATTACCTTAAAAATAGCTTTATGAAGATGATTTCGGCTCTTAAAGAGGAAATGAAAAATTCCCTTAAAGAAATGGAGGAAAAGACAAAAAATTGGAAGAAATCAACAAATCCCTTAAAGAAAACCAAGAAAAAGCAATCAAACAGGTGAAGGAAATGGTTCAAGACTTGCATTGAAATAGAGGAAATAAAGAAAACTGAGGGAACTCTAGAAATGGAAAATCTGTAGTCAATAATTAGGATCAACAGATGCAAGCATAAACAATAGAATACAAGAGAAGGAAGAGAAAAGGAAATAGATTCATCAGTCAAAGAAAATGTTAAATCCAACAAATTCTTAACACAAAATATCTAGGAAATCTAGGACACCATGACAAGACCAAACCTAAGAATTATAAGGAAATGTACAGCTCAAAGGCACAGAAAATATATTCAACAAAATCATAGAAGAAAATTTTCCCAACCTAAAGAAGGACATGGCTGTGAAAGTACAAGAAGCCCACAGAACACCAGATAGACAAGAAAAAAAAAAAAAGACCCCTTGCCACATAATTCTCAAAACACTAAACATACAGAGTAAAGAAGAATATTAAGAGCTGCAAAAGGCCAACTAACATAAAGGCAGACCTATCGGAATTACACCTGACTTCTCAGTAGAAACAAAGCGAGAAGGTCCTGTTCAGGTGTTATACAGATACTAAGAGACCACGGATGCCAGCCCAAACTACTATACCCATCAAAGGAGAGCTAATACCAATACTCCTCAAATTGTTCCACATAATAGAAACAGAAGGAACCTGCCAAACTTTTTACGAGGCTACAATTACTCTGATACCCAAACCACACAAAGACACAACTAAGAAAGAGAATTACAGACCAATTCCCCTCATGAACATGAATACAAAAGTACTCAAACTGAATCCATCTGAAGTAGATAACTGGTTTATGGCACAAGATTCATGGGACTGGTTCAAATATAGATTAGTATAATTTTATTCGGGAAGAAGTCACGTACACAACAATGCTGATGACTGCTGCAAGTCCCTGCTCCAAGGATCCATGCCAGCTGCCTTCTATGACCCGATTGGGAGCAAGAGAAAGAACTGGGGTCTGGGGCCCCAGACTTAGCCTCCCACAGGTCACGTCCACACCCCAGTGAGCATGGTCATTGCAACAGGTGCAGGCAGGGTGGATATCTCACTACAATTCCCCTTTTAGTGTAAAGGAAAGATTTAGGCTTGATACAAAACTATATACAAAGACAGTAAATATCAAGTATGCTCTAGGAAAAGTAAAAGTAAGAACATATACACTTAAACCCTATTGCAGTGAAGCTACAAGAGCAAAATGGGGAGAACTACTATCCAGTCCTAGGGTAAAGGCATAACAGAGATTACTATAGAGTTGTCCTAAACTGGAAAGTTTAAGTCTTGTACCTAATATTTCTATCTAGGAAGAGAGAACAATAATTGTGACAGTCTTCAACCTCATCTTCAACCTCATCAAAGACCAGAGAAGAAAGATAACAATACTAGGGTAGGCAGGAAGTGCAGGCGAGCAGCTGTTCTAAAAGGTGCAGTGAAGACAAAAACAGCAGGCTACCTGGACAGTCACCTAAAGTCTTAACATCAGGGCAAATAGCTTTGGCTAAGTCCTAGAGTATCTGACTGAACAACACAGAAGAAAGGAGGTCGAAAGGTTGTCTTATCCTGACTTGGCAAGTTTCAGCAGTCTTCTATGTTTATTTCCTGCAAGCACAGTAGGACAGCATGTCCAAAGTCAGCGGGTGAGGTGGGGGGCAGTTCTTTGC